TGGGACTCTTCGGTGCGGCCTTCCCCAGGATGTCTGCGGCCTCCAGCGAGTGCCCGCAGCGCTGTGTGCCCTGTCCACGTTCGCCTCTTCCATTCATCTTCCGCTTCTTTGCCGAAAGGTCGTGGCTGTCAGAGCGCTCACCTTTTCCCCTGGTCTCCTTCCGCGGCTGCTCCAGCAGCGCCTTCTCTGGGGAGCGCTATTTGGTCGCTTGTCCGAGTCTTCCTCCGACTTCTGGCGGTGCCTTTGTGTGGTGGGTTGCACAGCCGCGGAGGAAGGGGCCTGGTGATAAGCCTGCCAAGGCTAACCCCGCACCAAGCCGACCGTCCTGCCCGCCTGGGTTTTTATCATCCTGGAACTTCTGGGGCGCAGGGGCTCTCTCTCCCTGCCATTCTGACTCAATGCGACCCCACAGGGCACACTAGAACTGAGCATCCGGACTGCTGACTCTGCGGTTAGCAGTTCCACTGCACCCCCTGAGGCCACCAGCGCTCCCTGTGCAGGGTGTAGTGTTCGGGCCCTGATGGCTCAGTGGTTACATGTTGGGCTGCTAACTGCAAGGACAGCAGTTCGAAACCACATGCAGCTGCGCTCCTGGAGGGAAATCAGGGGCTTTCTACTGCTGTAAAGAGTTACAGTCTTAGACACTCATAGGGGCAGTGCTACCCTGCCCTATAGGGTCGCTGTGACTGGACGTCGGCTAGATGGCAGTGTTTGTTGTTTGTTGTTGAGCATGCCCACAGATGGACTCAGACACGTGGCGTCGGGAAGGGTTCTCCAGGCTGTAAACCTTTCTCCCCACAAGAGCAGCAGGCAAATTTGAACCTCTGACATTGGGGTGAACAGCCCAATGCCTCACCCACTCCACCACCTGCCACCTGGGCTCCTAGCCAGCAGGTGAAGGAACCTGAACACTTACCAGGACAAAGAAATGGGAGAACAGGTGTGGGGCACAGGAACGCGGAGCAGGCGCAGGCCCAGCAACTAAAACACACCACCTCGTTAGGGCACAGCTGTGGGCTGCCACCCCACCCCACCCCGCGGCCATCCCCACCCCAAAATCTGAGTGCTCGCCCTTGGGGATCTCTTGATCTCCGAAGCCCTTCCAACTCAAAAGGATGAAAAGGGGTCGACTGGAGACCAGGGTGACAACAGGAGGGTCTCCCGGAGACTCTGGGTACATCTGAAGATCAACATTTGGGCTGATCCCACCCGCCCACTCGGGGTTGGTAGGGTCGGCGCCGGGGGTGACTTACTTCAGCGCGCAAAGAACTAGGATTCGGGTTCGGCGTGGGAGCCTCCTTAGCTCTCAGGTAGCC